ATCTAAAGTCATTGAGCATTGGATTCCTGGCCATATTGGGCCACTCTCCCTGGGACCAGCTTAATGTGACCCTTAAAAGTGTCACTTTGGTTATTACAACTTTGGGGGATTTGTTGTAATCCAATCAACTCAGGTCACTGAAGTCATTCAAGTCAGAGAGCTAAAAGTGAACTTTGAGATCAGCACTACATTTTCAAGAAGAGGAAACTTGGGACCAGGATGTGGCAGAATTCGGAATGGAACTTTGTTTCCTGAGAGCCTCTTGACAGATGTGTCAAGATTCTGGCTACTATGCTCCTGCTCCTGATTATTATAATGAAATGTTTGCATATCTACAAGCTTCAGACTCATGGTTTTGGGACTCATGTGTGTAACAAAGCACTGATGGTGGAAGCACATGAGCAATAGGGGATGCTGAGGACTGTGGCACACAGGACAGTGCATGCGCTGACCAAAAGCATTGGAATTCCAGCTTTTCAAAATCCAGTAGTATCCAAACCCAAGTTCACTAATAGGATCTGATCTTGGGTCATCAATTTGCCCCTCCTATGTTAAAGCCACATCATCACTATATCTATTCCTAGCTAGTTAATTTACTTAACCTTTGCTAATCTCTGATTAAAACAGAACATCCTTTCTGTGGTGTGCATGCGTGCGTGCGTGCGTGTGTGTGTGTGTGTGTGTGTGTGTGTCTGTGTGTGTGTACTCAGAGTGCTTCCAGCACAGATATCATAATTTCTTTGAGGGTTCTTGACCTGCTTTATGTATATTTCATCCTTTAAAATTCACATGGATTTTAAGAACTGAAGCATAGTCATAAGAATGACAACGTTCCCTTTATATTACCCTCCCTTTCTTTACTATTTTTAGATGCTTCAGGAAGAGGTATAACGTCTATGTGGGAAGCAGGATAAGACAGCATTCTATTCCAAGTTGCAGAGCTTGAGACCCCTCAAGGGAGTATTATACCTTTCCTCTTTATTTCTTGGCTCAGATGGAATACTCATGAAAAGAGCAAGCATGTGATGTTAGAGCTATAAGAGACTGTGGACATACATTAGTTTTGCCATCTTCTTTTACAAAAGAAGAAATAAAATTATCAGACAAAGAAAGTGATTTACCCTTGGTCACATAGCAAGGTAGTAGCCAAGCTGGGGTTAGAATTCTGATACCCTGATTACTGTGCATTGAACCCTCCAAAGGCTATGTGCCAGGGGAACCAATATGAGTGCCCAGGTGAGCCACAGACTGACAGATGGTTGATTCTGCAGCTAATTTCTTGGCCTGATCTGATGCCTTGTGGTTGGCTCATGTCATATCATCTTTGAAAATATCTAAAGTCTGAGGCCTTGTATTGAAAGTACGAGGGACACTAGAAAGATTGAAGGACCTCAGTCAGGCATCAACTAACTTATCCTTCAATGACCAGCTCAGATATAACCTCCTCCATGAAGTCTTCTCCAGTCACTCCACCCAGACATGATTACACCTTCCTCTCTGACTCCATAGGACTCTTATTTATACATCATCACGATACTTTCCCAAGCCTTTCGCATAACCAAGAAGGTAAAGTCTAATCTTGTTCTCCCAGTTGAATGTGGAATCCCTGGAGTCAGGTGCTACTATAGTCTGCATGTCCTCTTTCCTTTCCTTCACCTCATTTCTTGCAGTTATTTATGTGTTCAGTAAATGGTAATTGACTTAACAGACTGACTGACTTCAGTTCCTGTGACAACCCTCTGGCAGAATTTATGAAAGAGGAAATGAATTTTCCTCAGTTGCATGGCAAAAAACAAACAGTCATATCAGGCACCAGAGTACTTCGCTTAGGCAAACATTTGCCAAGCCTCTCTTTTGTACTGGGTACCACGTGAGTGTTATTGAACTTGTCGTTGAACCAGGTGGACTTACCCTCAAGAAGTTGAGGCAGAGAGATCAGATAGCAAAACATGATAATATATGGACAAATAAAATACAAGCTAATCTGAGGGAGAAGTAATATGCCGAGGGAGCANAAACAAACAAACAAACAAACAAACAAACAAACAAAGCTGGGGCAGCCATACTTATACCAGACAAAATAGACTTTAAAACAAAGGCTATAACAATAGACAAAGAAGGACCCAGTAAACCCACTTCTGGATATTTATCTGAAGAAACCCAAAATGCTACTTCGAGGGGACATGTGCATTCATATGTTCATTGCAGCATTGTTTACAGTGGCCAAGATGTGGATGCAGCCTGGGTGTCCACTGATGGATGAGTGGATAAAGAGTCAGTGGTAGATATATACAATGGAATAGTGCTTGGCCATGGAAGGGAATGGGTTCTTGCCATCTGCAGTGTCATAGATGGACCTGGAGGGTACTGTGCTGAATGGAGTATGCCAGACAGAAAGATAGATGCAATGTGGTTTTGCTTATATGTGGAATCTAAAGAACAAAATAAACAAAGAAATCAGAAACAAAAAATAAAAGAAAGGAATTTTCAGAAATATTAGATCATAATTTACTGAAGTCCACCCCCTACCTCTATGCAGTGACACGACTAAACAATTCAGGCCTGGTAAAAAGCCTCCTGAGAACAAAACTTCCACTCATAGTTCATTCCCAAGTTTAATAGTCAGGAAATTATTAAATTATAACTAATTTAAACCCTTCATGCTTCAGGCTAAGCCTCATTCATTGGGCTGATAAACCCCAATATTTCCATTTGAATATGAGTCATTCACTCAGTTATAAAATAAACATTTACTGCATAAAAAAAAAATTAAAAAAAAAAACGAAAAAGAAAGCCCCCAAATGTGTCTTCTTTGAATTCCACATGTGAAAATTGGTGAGACCTTGTTTCCCTTACCTGCTAAAATAAGAATTGAGGGCAGAGTAGTTAATTCCCAATAGCTAGAAACTCTGTTGGTGTGTCCCTCTCCATTCCCCATCCCTTAACCAGGTCCCAGTGGAAGGAATTGCAATTCTGCATCAGTTCCCATTCTCATCAGCCCTGCAGAGGATGACAGTCATTGTACAGGAGCTGGGGGGTGACCAACTGGCATTCATAAAAGGTGCACCAGAGAAGGTGGCCAGCTTTTGCCAACCTGAGACAGGTAAGTGAACAGACTTGTATTACAACTGGATAATTTGTATTTCCAGCTCAAACATGTCCCCTCAGCCCATGATCCATGAATCCAATTACCTACTCACCAATTGGATGACTCATTGGGATCCCAAACTCAATACCGAAATGACGCTTTTCTTTCACATTTCCTATATTTCCCATTTTGGTGAATGATACCCCAGCTCCCCCATTTTGAGGTTTTCCCCAAATTTGTCCTTCTCCCTCAGTGCCTCTATTGTGTCAATTACTAGTCCATGCCCCCATCACTTTATCAGCTCAGGTCATCTTCCCTCTACTGGGTCACATAAATAGTTGGTAAATTGACCCCCTTCTCCCAGTCTCCCCTACCCTGATTCACCCTGTATACTCTGACTAGATTGGTTTTTTTCATCACATAGTATAACTGTGTTGTCACTTTCCTGCTTTTATTCTTTTGGTTGCTTCCCATAGGCTCCAGGGTAATCTTAGACTCCTTTAGGATCCTATATAAGGCCTTCATGATCTGACTCTTAGCACACTTTCCAGATACGTATGCCTTACCACTCCTATCCTCACATCCTGTGCTTCCCTTGAGCTGAACTAGTTGCCCAAGGCTTGCTGTCTCATGTGCCCATGCTTGAGCACATGATGCTCCCTAAGCCAAAATGCCCTTTCCCTTTCCTTCATCTACCCACCTCCTCCCAGTCTGGTATAAGCACCAAGTATTTCCATAGTATGCTGCAATTGCCTTGATCAGGGGTCGGCAAACTGCGGCTCGCGAGCCACATGCAGCTTTTTGGGTATGTTCCATCTCAAAAGTTTGCCGACCCCTGGAAGAGCCAATCCTATCCCTCACAAAAATTTAAAAATTATTAGAGAGCCATAAATATATTTTTACGTAATCACCATTATGTGAATAATACCCTTTAAAAATTTTATAAATGAAACTATGATAGTTTTATTTTCATTTTCAATTTTACTTTAGAACTTACAGCTCTTTAGTCGCAGTTTGCTGACCCCTGGCGGCTCTTCCGTTTCAAAAGTTTGCCAACCCCTGGGCCCTAGATCATAGTAATGATCTCATTCGATTGTGTTGTTAATCTATTGACTATTCCCTACTAGACAGATCCTTAGAGAAGGACCAGCAGTTTAATCTCTGCAGAGTCAATGCTTGAAACATAGACTGTTAATATTTATTTGTTGATTAAACTGTACACTTTCCCATCCTTTATCCTTTTTTTTTTGGACTGCTTCCTTCTCATTTCAGCTTCAATGGATCCCAGGAGGTCACCCCTCACAATGTGACAAAGTAGTTATATGTAGGGTGGGTTCCCACTGATTTGTTGTGTACCTTTTTAGATGTGGGTGTTGTGGGAAAGAATCGGATCTGTTTGTAAAGGATTTCTCCACTGGTGCCAACTGAGTAAATATTACACACTAATCTTGTGTTATTTTCTGAACAGTACCAACAAGTTTTGTTAGTGAGCTTCAGATTTACACGACCCAGGGCTTCCGGGTCATAGCAGTGGCCTACAAAAAGCTGGAAATGGACAACCACACCACTGCCTTGACGAGGTAAATGGGGAGGGTTTTGATAAAACAGGATGGCTTGGTGGGTAGATGCACCACACTGGACAGTGGACTCAGCAACATAGCTTGCTGGATTTGTGTGCATGAAATGTCTCTGAACTTAGTAAACAGGGATATAGTCATCCATGCCCTGCCTAAATCACAAAGCTGATGTGAACACTCGCTGGGAGAATTTATGAGAAATAGCTGTATAAACTGTTGAAGTATAATGTGGTTGTACAACTTTGTGAAAACAAATATATGAATATAGCCAATGTTTCAGAGAGTTTGAAACTATGGTCATTCCCCCATTTTGAACCAAATACAAGTAGCTGTTTTTTTGTTTTTTATTATTGTTGGTGAATTAGTTGAAAGTTAGAATGCATAACATTTGTCTGAAAAACAATTCTTGATAAGAAATATATGACTTAATGAGAAAAATTATAGCTTGGACTTAACACATAATCTAGGTAATGTTTGTAGAAAAACAAAAAAGCTTTGGAGGGACCATTCTAGAGAAAGTTTTGATATGTGTGATTAAAATGGGGACGCTCAAAAGCTAAAATGGACTGAAGGATTTATTAGTTCAAATTTATTTGTTGTTTTTCTTTCCCCTGTTCTTAGGCTATTGTGTTTATTTCACCTTCAATGCCATGCCCAGTACTCTATATCAGCCATTATTGGTAACACAGCTATAGAGATAATCAAGGCTTATTTTGTTATTTAGGGTTTTAAACTTGGGAGGTCTAATATATTTGTGTTCGACCCTGTCAGACTCAACACTCCCTTATTGTAGCTACATTTCGTACCACTCCCTTTAATATAATAAAATAAAATTCATATGTAATATGATCTGCATATATTCTTTGTAAAAATAAATATAATACTATCATGTACATTCAAAATATAAGCAAAAAATACAATACATTACAAAAAGTAATAGTGCAATAGATGCTCAGCTGACTCCACTAAAACAAAATGAGGCAATACGTTGCTAGCATCTGTGTATAGAAGCATTAGGGCTATAATGGCTAGGAATGCAGACTGATAATGGTGTGTTATACATTGGAGTTTCAAGTAGCATTAGCATGCTTGCTGTCAGTAAGGTGACTCTATGAAATAGTTTAAAAATCTTGGTAAAACTCTGAATAAAACAGTACAATCTCCTTTCAACTTACACATAGTCACATTCCTGAAAAATTCACTAGAATATTAAAAAAGTGCACAAAATACTTTGTGTTTAAATATAAAACAGAGCTACAGAAAGTATAATTTTATATTTGTTAATATAATATAGTGATATTAATATCATATATACTGTAATAATACAGTACATTATATAGTATAATTGTAGTATAATATAAACAGTATAAGCCTATACTGACTTAGGAAAGTATAAACAATCTTTTAGTGCCCATGAATGTCCTGCAAAATATTCAAAAGGCTCACGGGATGCAAGGTAATTCTTTATTATGCATTGTTTGTTGCAGAATACCTTGCATATATGTCTAAAAATTTTCCAAAATGTCTTCTAGAGGCAATACCATTCCTGCTGAAAATCACCGATGTGTCTCAACCTTGTCACTTTGTGAATGGGCAGTGAGGCTCAGAGGCAGAAGTGGCTCATCTAAAGATCTAAAGTCATTGAGCATTGGATTCCTGGCCATATTGGGCCACTCTCCCTGGGACCAGCTTAATGTGACCCTTAAAAGTGTCACTTTGGTTATTACAACTTTGGGGGATTTGTTGTAATTCAATCAACTCAGGTCACTGAAGTCATTCAAGTCAGAGAGCTAAAAGTGAACTTTGAGATCAGCACTACATTTTCAAGAAGAGGAAACTTGGGACCAGGATGTGGCAGAATTCGGAATGGAACTTTGTTTCCTGAGAGCCTCTTGACAGATGTGTCAAGATTCTGGCTACTATGCTCCTGCTCCTGATTATTATAATGAAATGTTTGCGTATCTACAAGCTTCAGACTCATGGTTTTGGGACTCATGTGTGTAACAAAGCACTGATGGTGGAAGCACATGAGCAATAGGGGATGCTGAGGACTGTGGCACACAGGACAGTGCATGCGCTGACCAAAAGCATTGGAATTCCAGCTTTTCAAAATCCAGTAGTATCCAAACCCAAGTTCACTAATAGGATCTGATCTTGGGTCATCAATTTGCCCCTCCTATGTTAAAGCCACATCATCACTATATCTATTCCTAGCTAGTTAATTTAC